CGGGAGCCACCATGGTCGTGTCTCGCCCGTGCTTTCTGCTCTACTCGTGGCCCAATTTCACTTTTTTAAAATGGAGTTCGAGCGCATTCCTTCAGCTAGTGGAGACAGCGCGGGAGGGAGAACATATTAGCAGAGGGAAAGGTAGACTTGTGAGCTGCTGTCCTGAGCAAGGAGAGCAGCTCATGTGCTGCCATGTCGGAAGATGCTTTATTGGAGGAGGAGATTTGGGAGTACAAATCCATTAGGAAACAGAAGTTGGAGCCTCAGGGTGGTTCAGAGAGCGGCTCTGCACCTGTGCGGACAATAAGTAATGGCAAGTGCAGGCCAAAAAGGAAGGGAAATGGAAATAAGAAAAAATCTGTGGAAAAAACAGATACTATTAGGAAGAGCACTGATACTATTAAGAAAAGCAAGCGGAGATCAAGACCAGATCCGGATCTAGATCAAAGTAAAGATGATCCTGTCGTGCAGTCCCAGGAGAGTGTTAGCAACCTGACAGAACAAAGCTCACACAGTGCAAAGCCAGTTCATGATGGACACTGTCCAAGCTGTCAGATGCCCTTCTCTTTACTGGTAGTCCAGACACCTCGGTGGCATGTTGCTGAATGCTTGGATACCCCAGGACCTGTGGAAAAAGGTATGAGTAGTATAAGAATGTCTTTAAAAAAAACAAAGACGTTTAAGACGCATCACATAATGTTGCTGGAAACTCATTTTTTTCATACTTAAAAATCTGAGGTGGTCCTAAGTTGTTATTGGCATCTGAATCCTGAATATTTTTTTGCACATAAATAATTATTTATTTAATGTGTGACTTGCCAGACAACTTTGAAATGAAATTCCAGGTTGATTCAGAATGTGGATTTGGTTCATTTTGAAACGTTTGTTGCTTTTTGCAGTGCCACTGCTCTGAGCTCATTGCTTCCACGCGAGATGGGTCCAAACTAGAAGCTGTGTGACTGCACACTGGAGAAAGCTAACACAGCCTTCCCCTTAGGCAGGTGTATCAATTAAAGCTCAGTGTTGTGTTTATAACATCTATTCTTTTTTAGTTTGGAAGCAATCTCACTTGTAGCCAGCTTAAGGGGCTCTTAGCTGATTGCAGATTGTTTTGTAGTATCCTCTGACGCCTGCGTGCATAAGCTTTTATATGAAAAGTCATATATAATTTTAACACTTATGCAAAGTGCCTATCTTTACAAAGATATTAACAGAGTTCTCTGCTTCACTTTCCATAGAGTGTCCCGATGGTTTACTGTGCACCTCCACCATTCCATCCCACTACAAGCGCTTCACCCATTTTCTCCTTGCAGCAAGCAGGGCAGGAGATTATCTCATACACTCTTCAACATGCACTCCGGAGAGGAAGGGCACTTGTTCCACTGCTGCAGAGCCCAGCTGCCTCCCAACTCTCGTGGAGACAACTTCACAGAACGAGAAGCCATCCAGGAATGGCCCAAATGCTGAGCAGACACTGGTGGTGCAGAGTTCAGCACAAATGAAATCTCTAAATATAACCAGTGAAAGTACTTCCTCTTCTGCAAACGTTGAAAGACCTCAACAGACACTACAGTTCACGCAGAGCACAGATGATAATTGCCAGTTTGAATTTTATGACTTTGCATCCTCTCAAGGAAGTGAAATAGGAGAAGATCTGGACAGCCAGAGAGATACAAATCAGCCAAGTCTGCTACAATCAAAAGTTGATTTCAGTGACTGTGAAATTTCTTATTCTCCACTAAGTACTTGTGAGGAAAGTGAAGAGGAAACTGAGAAAGAAGAGAAGAAAATAAAAGCATTCCAAAATAAATTATTGGAAGTTCAGAATTCTGAAAATGAATATTCTAATTCTGTGTTGTTTAAAAATTTTGAGGGGCTTCCTATACAGCATGTTAAAATGGGAAGTAACAAAACAGAGCACTGTGAGAAAATAAATACATCAAGCCATCTGGATCCCAGTGTAAAAACTGTTTCTCAGAGTCACATGAATAGCAAGTTCTCTAATTCAGCATGTGTAGCTAATCAGCATCAGCAAGAAGTGCTAAACACAGCATCCTCGTTTCCTCTTCAATATAATAGAACTCAGGAGGAGGGTGAAGAGTCAGAATTACTTGCACCTGTTGCTAATGCAGGTAATAAAGACTCTGAAGACAGGGGTGCTTATGCTGTGGATTCTGCCTACGTGGCTCTTTCAGATATGGTGTTGCTGCAAGTGAGTGAAGGTGCTAGGTCTGTCCTGCCACAGGAAAGTAATATTTTGAAGGACCCAAGTAATCTTTTGACTAGTGTAGATAAAATGACTGCTAGCATGACTGAAAAAGCAGGATGCCAGGAGAGTTTGCAGTCAGTAACAGAGAAAGAAGGAAATCTTCCTAATAAAACTCCTGTGTGCTGTTCCAGCCCAGTGTCTAAAACAGTGCAGGCTGTTTCTTTAGCAAGCATGAATGCCAAATCTAGTTCTGCCAAAGAACTCAAGCAAATGGACATTGGTGTTTTCTTTGGGTTAAAACCCAAAGCAAAAGAGGAAAGCAAAAAAGAAGAGGAAAGCAAAAGAGCGACTGTGTCAAGCGAAGGAATGCAGATATTGAATCCAGTTACTCCCAATGGAAAGACACCCAGACGGCGCAAAAGGAAAGCCGAAGGATCAGTGGAGGATGTAGAAGCAGTTATAGGTAGTCCAAATAAAAATGGAGGCTTTGCAGATGCAAATTCTGGTGGCCAACGAAGGTGGAGAAAAAGATTTAGGGAATCATCTACTACAGGGGAAGGAACAAGAAAAAAACAGTGCCCCTTCTACAAGAAAATACCAGGTGAGAGAGTCATTCACTGCTTTTGTAGTGTTGGTTGTGCATTTTCTGCTTGTTTTGTATTTTATTTTTTATTTTTTTTTATTTTTTTAAAAACCACCATAATTTTAGGCTGTATTCCTTATTCTCCATAACCATTTGTCTCTAAGAACCTGAGTTTTCCTTTCCCCGCCCAAGTCCATCAGATCTTGTAAAAGTTCAGGTCTTCAGAGGATGATGACAGAACTGGAATTATCACTTTGTTGTTAAAGTATAGTGAAATAACAATCTCTGAGAAATTATTTCAGAGGCAGATTCTTCTAATTCCCAAATTTAATCTCTTACATAATTGTTGGGCTTATTTTCCAGGCACAAATGAAGCTATTTCCTTGCACTAAATTGAAAAAAAAAAAAGAGTTTCATTTTGTATTAAGCTTACGGTATTGTGAGTTTCAAATCTGGCTCTTCTAAAATAGTAAGAGATCTTTTTGGCTTTTATATTTTAATTTCTAGTCTGCTGTGTTTTTCTTTTTGGAGTTGCAAATTCTTCTAGTTCTAGTGTTAAGTAATTAGTTCTATTTGGAAGATCTGAACAATTTGTGTAAAATAAAGTTAAAAGAATGACAGCAGATGGATAATTCTGTGCAGTGTTGTGCGAGTACAGCCAGATGAACATTTCTCAACTTGTAATCTTGTCATTTGTAAGATGACCATTTTTCAATATGTTTGAATTTTTTAAAAAATGCAGAGAAAGGTCTGTCTGCAGTGACTTTATACAAGTAAAGCCTCATTGAAAACAGACAGTGGCAAATCAGTGAAGTTTTATCTCAGCAAATGTATTCCAAGACCAGAGATCACTTTTGTTGTAACTATACAGTAGCATGTTTTAGGAGGAATATTAAACATATGAAAACATAAAAACGATAGTTTGACTACAAAGCGTTTTGTTAAGCTGTAGCTGTCTGTGGTATTTCGTGTAAAGATGTTGGTATTAGACTTCAGTCCACATGATCTTTCAAAAATATCAGCTGAATATACATAATTTATTTTTTTGGTCAATTGCCATTTATGGAAGGTGGCATTTGAGCAACAGATGTTTGAATGGCCTGTGGAGCTGTTTGTGGACAGATATTTATAATTTTAATAAACGGAAAAAAAAATTGTGACTGTACTCATAAACAAAACACATCATTCATCTTTATATGCTTCCTCTAGTTGTATACCTCGAACTGCATTTCCTTTTGTAACTGGGTTTTCCTTTTTGGGGGAGGAAAAAAAAGGAAGAAAAGAAAAGAATGTAAGTAGAGAAGGAGAGTTCTGAGCTATGCATATTTACTTACTGACTTTTCTTCCTCTTTTTCTATAGGAACTGGTTTTACAGTTGATGCCTTCCAGTATGGAGAAATTGAAGGCTGTACAGCCTATTTCCTCACTCATTTCCACTCTGATCACTATTGCGGCCTAACAAAAAATTTCATGTTTCCAATCTACTGTAATAAGGTAAAATTTTTCAAGATTACTAAATATATCAAATTCATATGCAGCTATAATACTTTTATACAGATGATGATAATTAGAGGAGTAGAAGATGGGCAGTAGGCAAGGTATTTGTATAGATGAAGCTGAAATCCTGTAATCAAAAGATTCCTGATTTGGCTGGTAAGGAAGATGAGAGGAACTTCCATAACTAGATGACATGGAATAAAAATAGATTTAAAGGGTCCCCTAGAGATCATGTAGTCTGATTTCTTGCTCAAAACAGGGTTAACTTTGCGGTTGGATTAAATTGCTCAGAATCTTTTTAGTCAAATTTTGAAAATATGTGAAGATGTTTTCCAGAACCTCTTTGCTGCCTGTTGATTGCATTGTGAAACTTTCTACTTATACTCAACTAAAATCTCCCTTTTTGTAGCTGATAGTCTTAGCTTTTTCTTTTGTATGCATTATAGAGAGGCATCTGGCTCCATGTTCTCTAACTCTCTTCAGGTGGTGGAAGGCTGCAGTGAGATTCCCCTTATGCCCTCTCCTCTCTGCATTACACAGACCCAGTTGCCTTAGCCTGGTCCCATGTGTTCGGTGCTTTGGGCTTCTGAATGCTGACACTGCCACTGAATATTGTATTTCCAATAGCTCTTTATTGGTGATGCAGTGGAGCACCTTGCCTAAGCAGTCCATACAGAACCTGTTCCACTGCATGCCTGGAGTTTCCTGGACTGCTTGTGTCCTATTGTGTTACCTTCAAGCAGGTGTTAGGATGGTTACAGTCTTCCATGATGTTGAGGTGGAAGGTCCAAGTCCTCTTAGGACTTGGAAAGTTCTTCAGTTACTCAAACAAGGCTTGGTCCTCCTGTTCTTGCCTGGAGAATAGAATTTATAATGAATATTCACCAGGTTGCTCATTGTTTTGGAGCCTTCTCACTGATTCTGAGCCATACTGTTGACAACTTTTTTTTTTTTCTTTTAGGAAAATTTCTTTTTTTAAAGTTTTTTTTTTTTTTTTTTAGGGGTGAAGCTACTAAAAGTCTTGATTGTACCTAAGATTTCACAGTTTCTTCCTGAGGCAAATTGTATCATTTAGAGATTCTTTGCTTCTAAAATAAATACAGTTTTTCAAGATTGTTTCTGTTTTATCCTTTTGCCGTTACAGATAACTGGCAATCTGGTGAAGAGCAAACTCCGAGTCAAGGAGCAGTATATCCATGTGCTGCCAATGGACACGGAATGTGTAGTAAATGGGATCAAAGTGTTGTTGCTTGATGCCAACCAGTATGTATCATTGTGTTTGCTGAGATGCGTTTGTATCTATAAAATGTTAAATAGCTGCATGTATGCAATTTAACTTAACACATAGGAGTCTAAAGTGCTTGCAAGTACATAGCTTTTAAAGTATCTGATTTCATTTTGAAAATGAAACACAGGCCATTTTTCATCTATATAAGGTTTATTCTCTTTGCTTGTCCATGTTTCCATGGTGTCATCCATGCACAGTTCCTTAACTTTCACTGATGACAGTGAAATCTTCAGCTAAAGAAAAATATACTTTAGATCATAGTTAGAACGGTAGATCTTCATCTACCAGCAATTTAAATTTGAACTTCAAACCTTGCTGAAATCTGTAACAAGATTTCTATTGGATTCAGTACAAAAGGGTGATTTTTTCCCCAGGTTAACCCTAGAGGTGTGTGTGGTAACCTTGCAAGTAGAATGCAGTAGCTTCTGGCTTCCCATCCTGTGCCTTTGCAGTTCTTGCTCTTGATGTCTTATAGAGCTGTGGGATAAAATAAAAGTTGTTTCCCGAAAGTATATATTTAAATGCACTGTGTTACAGCTGGTTTGAATATTACTTATCTTTGGTTTAGTTTATAATTGGAGAGATAAGGTTGCATGAAGTCCTTTGAGAACCCTTTCTGGGAAAGAAAGAAGCCTTGTTGCTAATGTAATCTGGACACTTTTCACCTTTCCTGATTTGCTCCTTGATCTGCTGCTTCAGTTTAAAAGGCATATAAACCCTAGGTACAAAGTTCAAATTTTTGGAGAGCTTACCAATTCTGTCATTTTTAGCTCTGATTCTTGCGAATGTTTCCTTTTTGAGATTTTGTTTATCATTTACAGATGATTCATGCCCAAAATAGTCCCACTGTCATTTCCCAGTCTGAGCATTTGCCCTTTTCTAATGAAGAAGCACAGAAGGTGCAAAGGGCTCCCCGTGGCTGTGGCTCACAAAAGAATTGTATTTATAACAGCAAATTGGGTGGAGGACAATGTTTAAAGCTTTAGTAAACTATTACAGGAGTGAAAACAGCATTTGCAATAACACAGTTTTGTTTGTCCAAAATAAGAATGCCTCTTGGTGTTAGTGTGCCTGTTTGTCCTTTAAAACAAGTCTGATGGAACCACAGAGACAGCATCTATGTCATACCTAGAGAAAGACAGAGCATCCTAAAAAGGCAGTTAATGCTTGATTAGTATTGATGTATTTTTCTTCTTGCCATCTCTGCTGTAACTTAAAATCCTGTTCTCTGAGCCTTCCTGCTACTGAAGGGCAGTATATCTCTTAAGGCAGTTCATCAGTATAGAGAAGTAACTTTTTGTGTTGTGTTTTTTTTTTTTTTTTTTTTTTTTTCCTGTTTTAAGTTGTCCAGGTGCAACAATGATCCTTTTTTGTCTCCCTACTGGAAACGTTATTCTGCACACGGGAGACTTCAGGGCAGATCCTTCCATGGAGCGCTATTCTCCTCTGATTGGTAGAAAAGTCCATACTCTTTACCTTGATACCACGTAAGTCTTTTTATTTATTCTGTATAATTCTCCTTTGAGTTGAATAAGGATTTACATGAATCAGAATTTGCAGTATGAATGACCTTTCAGTTTTTAACACTCATTAGGTAGGTTTGGTATAATACAAAATTAGGTAATGATCAAAAGTCCTTGCATGTCTGAACTCTCCATCTCTTGCAGGAGTGAGAATAGAGGTGGGTGGTGGAAAATCTGCCAAAGTATTTGTTGAGGTGGCCTTATTATTTATAAGTGATATTAAATTCTAGATGTCAGAGTTCATATGTCGAATGCTCAACTCTAAAAATAGAGGCTTATGGAACAAATGATTTTAGGTGGATTCAGATCTATTATTGAAAAAAAGAAAATTAAAGGAGTAAAGAATGCAAAATACATTTGTCTAGGTTTTCATTAGACCTTTCTCTGACTCATCTATACAAAATTGTTTTTCTGTATATGATGACTAATACCCATCTGCAGTCTTTTACTTCCTTATGTCTATTTTTTGCACACAAACCATAACATAAAGCATTATTCATTCACAGAAACATATGGAACAGAAATATGTGATACAAATATCTAGCTTGGAAGAGCACTCGGTATTTATAGAGGGGGAAAAAATACAAAATTCAGTGTCAATTTCAGGCAAGTGAGTAGTTGTATAGAAAGTGTACAAGTATGGAACATAAATTTTATTGCAACAATTTCATCTCAGTACCATGGTGTTTTCTAACAACTAGATTGCTGATAGCTTGACATTACATTGATACATATCACCACTTCCATTTCTGTGTTACTGTATGAATGCAGTTTTGAAGGTCTTTTAGGAAAACTAAATTGCCTTTTGTCATGTATAACAAAATGCTTACATCTTGTTTCTGTGCTTCAGATACTGCAGTCCTGAATATACCTTTCCTTCCCAACAAGAGGTTATCCAGTTTGCTGTCAATACTGCTTTCGAGACAGTAACTTTAAATCCACGTACTTTAGTTGTCTGTGGCACCTACTCTATTGGAAAAGAAAAAGTCTTTTTAGGTATGTAAAATAAATGCACTAGATCAAATGACTAAATACCTGTCTGAATCTGTTAAATGACCTTTACAGGGTATCTTAGGCTTGATGCATAAAGGAGATTTAGTAATTCTTCCTTCTTTTTATTTCTCTCCTTTAGCTTTAGCATTCTCAAAGAAATGTTTTTGTGCCATTTTTACAGTCCCCAGAATGTACAAAGTGTCTGTTCAGCTGCTAAGATGAATGAATAGCTCTGATGGTGAGGAAAGCACTGGTAATAATTTAAAAGGCATAAGTAAAATCTTCAGGATGTTTTTGTCAAGAAACAGCAAAGAGCAAATTGTAGTGCGCACCCATCTGGGTGTTATGTTTCACTTGGTTACAGCAATAGTGATTAGCTGAATGTATTTTTTAGAGTAGACAGCTGTGTACTCTTTGTGCTCCTGAGGAGATTTTAGTCACTAGTTTAAGACTGTCTCTGAAATTCAGTCTGTAATTAAATTGAGCTGGTCATGCCATGTTCAAAAAAGTACACTCGGTTCTAGCTTCTTTGAAATAAATACCAGTTCACCTCCAAAACATTTTAGCAAAGAACCATGACTTGTAACTGAAAAATGTACTTCTGTTTTGCTTCTCATTCCAATTGTTCTACAGAATTCTGGAGCCAAAATATAGGAGGCTGTATATTGTAAAAGTCATTTCAGTTTTCTGCTCTTCAGATTAGAACAAGGAACATTGTGGAATATTGTATCTTGATGAATATGGATTTTTATTTTTCAATAATAAAAATGTTCCAGTGTAATAACTAGGACTATCTCTCCAAGACAAATAATCTGAGAACTCATACTTACTTTATTTTTTTTTTGTATTTCATTCTAAAGCAATTGCTGAAGTTTTGGGCTCCAAAGCAAGTATGTCTCATGATAAATACAAAACACTGCAGTGCTTGGAGTCAGCAGCTGTGAATTCCCTTATCAGTATGGACTGGCATGATAGTTTGCTTCATGTTCTTCCTATGATGCAAATTAATTTTAAGGTAAGTTCAGAAAGATACAATAGGTTGATTAACCTGATGATAGAGTTTATTGTTGACTCATCCCAACCTATGTTGTCTGTTGCTTTTTAACCTCCTGTCAGAGCATATTTATTTAGTGAAGTTTTGACATATAGCAATACATTGAAAAGGAGATGTAATTAAGTATTAATAACTGTCTTCAAACATGATGCACAGAAAGTGTAATTTTGCATTAATGCTGTGCTTGTACAAGATGAGATGAGATTTCTTCAAAGACTTGCTCTTTGCAGGCCTTTTTGAAGTAGGTTTATGTAATGACTGCAGCATCTAGCCTATTAACAATTAATACATTATGACATTGGTCCCTGTTCTGGCCTGCTTTTTACCTTGTATGTGTAGGAAAAGACTCAAAGAGTGTTCTTCCTGAGGATTTCATTGTTTAGAGGCAGCCCATGAGCATTGCAAGCTTCCAAACTGTAATTATCAGATTCTCTGTGCTCCTCTCAGTTCTTTTTCTATGGCTTTATAAGAAAAATTCAGCAGATAAAAGAATATTATTTCTCATTATATTCTGAAGATCAAAGTGGGGATATGGATACTTGAAAACTACTGAAAACTCGCACACAGACATTTGCAGACGGTGAGCATGTTGAAGGTCATTTCAAAAATGCT